GGGGAAGCTGAAAATAGGAGGATCACTACAAGTCCAAGCTACATAGTGAGATCCTGTCCCAAATTATATATATAGGGGCCAGGGAGATGGCTCAGTAGAATAAGCACTTGCCTGGCAAGCACAAGGGCCTGAGTTCAATCCCCGGTTCTGAAAGAAAAAAAAAAAAATTACTTATATATAATGGTGCTGGAGACTGAACCCAGGGCCTTGGCATTGTACTACTTATGTTTACTGTATTTTTATTTTGAGACAGGATCTCCATCCAATTTGCTGGGTAGTCTTCCTGCCTCAGCCTCCTAAGTGCTGGGATTGCAGGTGTGTGCCACTGTGCCCAGCTTTACACGGATGAGTTACAGGCCATGTGAACTATATCTCAAGCAAGATGTTTATTTTCTTAAAAAAAAAAAGCCCTGGTGGGCTCATTTGGAGCAACTGGTCCTCTTTTCCAGGCCATGGACTTCAAAGCACCAGGTCCAGAGCCCAGCGGCCGGTGCGCTGCTGTTACCTTGGCAACCTGCTGGGCTGCCTTACCCAGTCACTTATGCTGTCTGACTGCAGTGGAAGGACAGGGACATCTGAGGCCGGGGACATCGATGTGGAGGGAACTTCAAGCCCTCTGAGGCCTCAGCAGCCTGGGTTTGGGGGATCCAGCTGGGGGAGCAGACAGCGTGGAAAGGACAACTACACTCACAGCATGGCTTGTGCAGCAGGTTCTGTCACTAGAAAAATAGAAGCCACCTGAGTCACAGGAATGAGCAGAGGCAGCCCAGGGATGAGCCACAGCTGAGCCATTTTAAACAGGGCCTGGGAGCCGACCCTGAAGGAACGCTGGAACAGAGCCACACAGACTGGAGCAAGCTCCTCGGTGCGCCATCTGGGGCCCAGTATACCTACAGGCCACCTCCCCCGAGAACTAGGAGCTGTGACTGCTCCCAGCTGCCCTAGGATGGCGTCACCATGGGTGGAGCCCCCCAGCAGCCATCATGGCCCTTGTGAGCTCCAGGTGGGGAGCCCCTAGTACATGCCTCCCTGGATCAGCCTCCCTCAGGGGAAACTGAGGGTCTCTCAGTGTCCAGAAAGGGTCCTGCAAGAACTATCAGCCCACTCTCCAACCTGGGCCCTGGGCTTGGCTTCTCCTTGCAACCCCAAGCAAGCAAGCAGTGAGGAGGAGACATGGGGGTAGACAGATATAACCCATGATGCAACAGCTCCTCTTCCTGGACTTACCTGGGGGCAGGGACAGTGGCCTCCAGAGGTGTCTGCTCCACCATGCCAGGGCTGGCCATCCTACTCAGCCCTCCTGGGCTTTCATGGCCTGGGCACAATGGATAGAGACCTCAGGCTGGGTCCCCCTTTGCACCCTGCCCTCTAGGTTAGCTCCACCTAAGCCCACGTTATGGGGGGAGGAGATGGGGGGAGCATAGCCACATGAGCCTGGTGCTGTCCCATGGCCTTGCCCGTGGCCTTGCCCATCGCCCTTGGCTGTCCTTGGCCACCCCAGGCTGGGGACCCAGGGAGGCCCTCACATCACAGAGGAAGAACCCAGGCTCCATTTGTCATCTGTCCCGTTTCCAGCCCTCTCCTGCATCCTGCTGGCCACTGTTTACCCTGGCAACTGCTGTCTGCGGGCCTCAGAGACAGAAAGGGACAAGGAGGCAAAGGGACATCAGAGGCAGGACTCCTGGGAGCGGCCTCAAGCACCCGACCCCGAGAGTTTCAGAGTCTTTGTCATCTTCCCAAGCAGCTTTGCCTGCCTCAGACCTCCAGCTCTCGCCTGCAGCAGCAGGATGAGCCTTTTTAAAGATGAAAGAATTATTTATGGGCCCCTTTCGTGCCAGGCTCTGTGCTGACTGCTGGCAGTATGGGAGAGACCGACACAGACAGAAAGACAGCCGACTGAGGAGGGTGCCTGGCACAGCATGCCCTAAGGCTGCTGATCCCGGGGGCTCGGGGTCCAGACCAGTCCTCCCAGGGCAGGGAGCTGCAAGGGGCCCAGGATGGCGACAGCAGGGACAAGCCAGGCAGAAGCCTGGGGGTCGTTTAACTAACACCAACCTTGTGGGCTCAGGGTGCTTGGGCCTCGTGTCCCTTTGTTCTACCTTTCTCTTAATGTTAGGAGGTGTATGTTAGCATTTCAACTCACAGATGACACATCTGAGTTTCGTGCTACCTGGCTTGTCTTTTTTTTTTCCTGTGTGCTTCTGATCATTGAACCCATTTGAGCTATATACCCAGGCTTCTCTATTATTTTATTTTAGTTTTTCAGACAGGATCTCACGGTATACTTCAGACTGACCTTGAATTCACTATGTAGCCCTCTGTGGGCCTCAAACTGAGAAGCCTCCCAAGGGCTGGGATTACAGGCGAGTGCCGCCACACCTGGCCTTATTCACTTATTTCATTTAAGACAAGGAAACATGGAGTTGCTGTGTTATCCAGGCTGGGCTTGACCTTGTGATCCTCCTGTCTCAAACTCCCAGGGGCTGGGATTCCACTGTGCACCTCTATGCCCAACAGGTGGATGCTTGCAAGTCTAATGGACTACTCCTGTCGCAGGGTCCCCAGCCTCTGCAGCAAAGCACGTGTTGATTTTTGGCTCACATCCCAGTGCAGGTGGAGCCTTGCGGCAATGCGGGGACCCATGGCTCCATCTGTCGCTGGTTCATCTTCAGCCTGTGTCCTTGTGATACAGGGAGAAAAACTGGTCTCAGGTGGGTGACCTCCAAACCATATAGGGAGCCTCCAAATGATATAGGGGAAAAACGATCTCTGGACCTGACCTGCATGAGTTCGTGTTCTCTAAAACCGAAGAATGAATTTTAGGAACAAACGGAGGTTATGAGCAGAATATATTTATTGAAAGAAAGAAAGCTCCTGTTCCGAGAGAGGGACAGGAGGGGGGGCCCGAGTGGGTAGTTCCCCTGGGAAGCTGTCTCTTTCAGGGATTTTTATAGTGTAAAACCATGTGGGGCTAAGGTGGAGAGAATGGGAACTTGCTTAGGTGGGCAGGAGGTGGGACAAAACTATGGTCAACAAATGAGATCACAAGCACCATTGCTCAGGTAAAACTGATTAAATCCAGTATCAAATGGGAAAGTGAGTCATGTAGCAAGCAGACATGAATACGGAACAGGGTCTCTTCCTGTTGGGGGTTGGGCTAGTGACTCATTTGGGCTCTTTCAAGTTGATTGATACTATTTTGAATATCAATCCCTGATGCCCATCCCTAGGGAAGTAGGTAGCTGTGCTTCCTCTTTTTGTCTCGGTCTTCAGGTGTGGCCCATATGGGTATGTCGTCCCTTCCAAATTGCAAAGTCCCCTTGTCTTCCATCTTGTCTCCTTGAGGGCCTGGCCCTGTCTGACTGCCTAGAATATTTCTGCCTAGCTCGGCTGCCTGCAACACTTGGAGGTGGCTGTAGAAGGGAAACCAGGACAGAATCGTGCCTGGAGGCTTCTATGAGGCGGGTGGGGTGGCAGGTTTCTGTTCCACACCCCTTCCTCCAGCCAACTCATCCCTAGATCAAGGGGACCAGGACTGTGGTCTAAAGCGCAGTGAGAAGGGGACCTGGAGAATGTCAGGGGTCCCTGGAAACCTTGCCTCTGAGCTCGTGTCCCCAGCCTGAGGCCGCTGCCTGCCATATGCCAGGAAGACGGGGATGGCTTGCAGACCTGGCAAGTGACTGCCAGGGCCTGCGCTTTGTCCTGTCGCAGTGAGGAGCTGCTGCCTAGCTCTAATGAGGAAATGCCAGGAGCAAGTCTGTGTCACTGAGATAAGGTGACAGGGCTCACGGAGGCCAGGAACCAGGCAGGGTCCTATACCCTGTACGGCGGAGCTGCATCTCTCAGCACCCCCGCCATGCTCCCCCTGTGTCCCAGCCGCCCACCCAGGCTGGTTCTGTGGGGCACCAGGCCCAGAGCCTGCTGGGAGGTGGCACACAGGGCGAGGTACAGACCTGAAGCTGTAATTCTATTGCTGGCGTCTGAAAGCGGCCTGAGCGGAGGGACTGATAAGCACATTTGCTCAGTGCAGGAACCGAGGACAGCACTCAGGCCCTGCAAACAGCCATTAGCCGGACTGAATGTGCCCTGCAGGGAAACAGCTCCCAGAAGCCCCCAGGGGCAGGGCCTGCAGCACAGACCCAGAGCGGTGATAGGCAGAACCATCCCAGGGAGGTTCTGAGACCTACGCTCAGCAGCACTTTGACCCCAGGAGCTGAGAGAGCTGGGGGTGGTGCTCTTCTCCTGGGGTAGGGTGGGCAGGTACGATCACACCAGGGTTTACTCCCCTGGGTGCAGCAGCTGACACACAGACCCTATGAGTACTGCTGTCTTCTCAGTCCCCTGTACATGGACTGCTGCTCAGAGAGGGGCAAGAACTTGACTGGGGCCACACAACAGGTGTGTCACACAGGAATTGCCACTTCCTTCCTCCTTCCTGGCCCCCCTCAGTCCTCAGACCTCTTCTCTTCTTCCTATTGATTCTCCTCTTTTGTCCTCCCAAGGCAGAAGACCTGAAGCCCTTAGAGAGCTTGTAGGCTCCTCAGAGCCTGCCCTCAGTTCCGTGCCAGGGGACAGGAGGAAAAAGGAGACTGGAGTAACTTCAGGAGAGCATGTATCCACCTAGGATGATCCTGTGGTCCCCTGGAACTGAGGCCTTAATGCCCAACACACTTCCTCCCTAGTGCCCTGGGGAATTGTGGGAAACAAGATGTCTGCCTTCCACCGGCAGAAGCAACCAGCGAGGCCCCCAAGGGATGGTGGGAAGTGGCCACTGAGGGGGTAGGGGAGGAGGGACTTAAATTAGGGCTGAGAAGAGGTGGGAGAGGCCAACCAAGGCCCTGTGGCTTCTCATTTAGATCTTTACTCCTGAAGCCACTGGGTCCAAGCTGGTATGGTCTCCAAGCTGGACCTAGATGAATTATAGACACTCTAATTCTTCTGCCCAAAGCATAGCTCCCGACCTCCTCTGTCTGGACTTTGCCTTACCTCTCCCTCTGTCGGGTGCCATCTGAAGGCAGAGGGCTAGGCAGTGCTCCCACAGAGACAACCACGGCGCTATGCCTGCGGAGGTACATGGCGTCTCCCACCTCCTCGTGCTCCTCAACCGCCTTCTCCATGCCAAAAGCCAGGTGCATCGTTAAAGCCAGGAAGCCTTCAGCACAGCATCTCTAAGAATAGACTAGATAAGGAAGTAAAACTGCTGGGGATCGATGCAGAGGGACAGAGGAAAACTCCTAGGCCTTTAACCTGTTATGCATTAAAAGCATAGCTTTTTTTTTTTTTTTTTCCTGAAGCAGTCAGAGACTTAAAAACTGATTTTTTAAAGTGACTCTTCACCTGGGCCTGCGGAAGCCCAGTGGGTAACTAAAAGCAGGGCAAAGCTTGACACCTCTGCCTTCGTTTTGTGTCAGTCTCCTTTATCGTCCTAAAATTTTGGGTCAGATGGCTGCTCAGCTCTACATGGTAGGCAGGTCAGTCATTGAGGGAGTGTCTGTCTAAAATGGGTAATGCAAGGCTTATTAGTCCTAAATTTACCTGACCTATTTCAACCCTCTTCAAAACCAAGGACAAGAGCCGGTGTGCTGGCTGGCACACACCTATAATCCCAGCACTCCGGAGCATGAGGTGGGAGGAGCACTGCAAGTTCAAGGCCAGCCTGGTCTGTGTAGTGAGCTCAAGGCCAGCCTGAACTACACAGGGAGAACCTGTCTCAAAAAAGGAAAAGGAAAAAAAAAAAGGAAGGAAAAAGAAAGAAAGAAAAAGGAAAGAAGAAAGAAAGAAAGAAAGAAAGAAAGAAAGAAAGAAAGAAAGAAAGAAAGAAAGAAAGAAAGAGAAAGAGAGAGAGAGACCAGGGACTGTATGGTAGGAGGTTTGTAGGCCTCAGAGTCAGCTGTTCCAACAACCTGCTCAAGCCCCGTGAAATGGGTCTCTAATCATTGCCTTAAACCTGCAGCCACCCTGGACTCCAGCTGAGCCCCCACACAACTGAGGCTGCTCCTCACAACAGAACCACCACCTCTTGGGACCCAGGACACCCCTCAAAGCATCAAAACTTCTCTGGGGCTGAGAAACCAGAACCAGAATAGTGACCAACCAGGCCTTTGCCCATGCCACCAGCCCCATACAAGCTGGTCTTTTCCCTTCATTGAGGGACCAGCCTCATCTTCTCTGTCAGAATGCTGTTTCTTCTCAAAATGAAGTCCCTCCTTCGCTTTCTCTAGCTTTCCCCTTAAATCTTCTGCCCATAAGCCCATGCTGTGGTCTCAGCTTTAATTTCCACTGAGGCTGAGGCAAGGACCCACTCTCATTCTTGAGTCTCCACAACCGATCCTCCCTTAATGTTCATGCCTCTAACCTGAAAATGATGGCCATCCCCAGATGCTGATGCTTAAAGCTAAGTATCCTGGCTTACTGGGTCCCTGAAATCTGGAAAGGCTTTTGCCCAAATGTGCCTCAACCTCAGCTTTCCATCCTTAGACCAGAGTCAGAGCCAGAGCCTGTCTTTGGCAGGGATCCATGGTGCAGGGTGGGCTCCCTGGCCTCAGAGAGCATCCAATCAAGTGCAGGTGGGCTCCTGTCCAACCCTCACCAGGACAGAGAGGGGGCACCACAGCACTGTTCACAGTGAAGAAAAGGAGGCTGCAGGGATGAGTGGCATCTGGGAGTGGACAAACCAGTACTGAAGGTGGGTGAGGGCACTCTGCATGAGGACAGGGTGAATGGCCATTCTGTAACATTTTAAGTGCCTTTCATGTGTAAATTTCTTCTGCCTTATAACTAGGAACCTGTGTCCTCTTAGAGTTAACAGATTCAAAAAGTCAAGAACTACGAGGAAATCAAACAAGTTGCTATGACAGAGCATGACAAGGAGGAGCTTCTACAAGGGGGCATTTCTAACCTGCCTCAGTGATAGAAAAGCTGTGAGAAAGGGAAGGGACAGGCATCTCAGGCAGAGAGAATGGCAAACGCTGAAGAGGCAATCCAACTTCGTTAAGGAACAGAAATACATTTTTAAAATCCAAACAGTGTGGCATTGGCAAAAAGATAGATGGATCCGTGAAATAGAAGAGAGTCCAGAAAAAAATTCAAGTCTATAGTCAAATGATTTTCAACAAGAGTGTCTCGTGCTTTTGACAACCACTGCTGGGACAACTGTATAGCCGTGAGCCAAAGAGTGACAATGGATCCCTACCTCACACCATATACAAAGTTAATGCAAAATTCATCAAACATATAAGTGTAGAACTTACACTATAAAACCCTTAGGAAGAAACATAGGGGTAAATCCTTAGAACCTTGGGTTTGGCAGTGAATTTTTTTTAGGGGTGTTACCAGGGATTGAACTCAGGACCTTGTGCTTGCCAGGCAGGCACTTATGCCACTCAACTGTCTCCCCAGGCCTTGGCAGTGGATTTTTAAATATGACAACAAAAGCAAAAGCAACAAAAGAGAAAATAAGTAAATTCTAATTCATCAAAAGTATATTTGTTCATCAAAGGATACCGTCAAGAAGGTAAAAGGACAAGTTGTGGAATGGAGAGATGATTTGCAAATGAAATTTTTGCAGCTCTGATAAGAATCCAGTACCAGAATACATAAAGAATCCTTAGAACTTAATAATGAAAAGGGAGCTCAAATCAAAAACCTGAAAAAAAAGTTCCAAATAGACAGTTCTTTTTTTTTTTTTTTTTTTTTTTTTTTGGGGATTGAACTTAGGCCCTTGCCCTTGCCAGGCAAGCACTTACTCCACTGAGTTGTCTCCCCAGCCGGACAGTTCTTCAAAAAAGATAAATGGGAGCTGGGGATATAGCTCAGTGGC